CGCAGAGTCTTCAAAAACTCTAAAGAAAATGTTCTTTATGAATCACAAGAAGGCACTCGCGAGGGGCTGCATCTCCAGGGAACCTCGGTTGCCTTCAAGGAAGTGGGTGGGGTGTCCCGACCCCTCGAGGCCAGAAACCCGTGTCAGTCAAAAAAAAAAAAACACTTTTACCAGACTGACTCGTGTGTTGGGTATGTTGGCAGCTGAGTGTTTTCAGCTAGTTTGCTGCTGTTCTAACTGGCGCTCGTGGTTGATATGACCCAACGTCCTTGTAATTGAAGGGAGTGGACCCTAGCGATTGCGTGTCCTCTCCCTGTCCCCCTCCCCACCACCCTGACCAGGCAGGTGGGGCCTGCAGCTGGTGGATTAAATTAAAAATACACAATGCAACCTGATGAATGAGGAGGCACAAGCCACCCACGGGGGCGGCAAGGAGCTCTCTCGGAATCTGAGCTCCCACTTTGGGCAAGTGAACAGCCTGCGCTCGTTCTGATTGACGGCGCAGCCTCAGTCCACTCAGACAACGGAAGTCAAGTCACCAGACGTATTACTTATCGATCCCAGAAATGGGGGAGAGGCACAGCAAGCCCGGGGAGGGCAGCCCTCCCCCAGGCCACTAGCGAGGAGGAGATGGGGAGCAGGGCAGGAGCATCTGTTCCTTAGGGGGTGGGGGTGGAGCTCGCTCGTCTCCCAAGGCTTAGCTCTAAGTGGTTTAAAAACCACCTTGTTTAAAGCAAAGCAGGAACTTGGGACGGGAATCCTAAGCTCAAGTCCGTACCCAAATGTCTGGATTCTGGATGTGAGTGGGGTTGTCACTCTGTGAAATGACAGGGCAGTGACTCAAATAGCGATTTCCTTCACAGGCACGTGACTAGACTACCCACTTCTGCTTGTTCAACAAGAGTAAATTTCTGCTGTTGACATAATCAACGAAGATAGGCGAGCTCGAATTTATGTATGCTCATACACATCCTGGGAATCGCGTCTCGAGTTAGCGCCTTAGCACGCACTCAGCCAAGCCACAAGCAACCTGGGTTGTCCTGTGCTTGAGGATATTGCACGATGGACATACAGAATATTGTTCATATTGTCATGTGCTTTTCTCATATGGAAATCATGATAGAATGAAATAATTTTCTTCACATTTTAATAAAGGCAGATATGCTGAAGACAGCATATCTTATGTGTTTGTTAAATAACTTCATAATTTAAAAATAACATAATCTCGAGCGATAACCAGATTCTGTGTGTCCTCTTCCAGCTAAATCACATGAGCGTCCAAGCATCCCTGCTAACAGTTCCCGGCCCCTGTCAAACTGCAGCCGGTCGGGCGGGGCGGGACCCGCTCTG